CTAAGTGAGCAAAAAGAGTATACACACAATATTTCAAATACTATCATTTTTCGATTGTTGTCATTCTTCTTGGGTCGATAATGGGTCATAATTTGAATTCGGTCAAGTTTGAATTTTCCGTGAAATAGAATTCTTTTTTGGTTTTTGGAAAATAGTAAATAATGGAATTGTGAGGAAAATATTTGAATATTTGTTCAATTTAAAATATTAAAATTTTTCAATATTTGTGAAGATTTATTTTGTTTAAATTTGGGGAAATTTATTTTCTTAAAATTTGTGAGAATTTATTTTTTCGAATCTTGTGAAAATATTTTGTCAAAATTTACTAGTTTTCTTGAAATTCGGGAAAATTAATTTTACTGAAATTTGGGAAAAGTTATTTTCTCAAAATCTGGGAAAATTAATTTTCTTAAAATTTGTGAAAATTTATTATTTTCTCAAAATTTGTAAAATCTTATTTTTTCAACATTTGAGAAGCCTTATTATTTTCTTGAAACTTGTGAAAACTTGTTTTCTCAAAATTTGTGAAAACTCATTTTCTTAAAACTCATGAAAAATTATTTTTCTTCAAATTCTTTGAAAACTTACTAATCTTGAAATTTATGAAAAATTATTTTTCTCCAAATTCTTTGAAAACTTATTAATCTTGAAATTTTTGAAAAATGATTTTTTCCAAATTCTTTAAAAACGTATTAATCTTGAAAATTATTTTGTCTAAATTTGTAGAAAATTGATAAAATTTTCGAAATATTGCATGAATGCCATTTTCCTCTCATTGTACCTGCGTTTACAAATACAACGTACATCGGGGTAATGTGCTATCGTCAATATTATGGTACTTTGCCTTTTACAATTTTTTTTGTCTCTTAAATCGATTATACGCAAGTCGATTATTCGTGTATCGATATTATGAATTAGTTGCGCCTGACCGGTACATCGAGATTCGAATTTACAATGGACACAATCGTATTTACACTGTTGTTGATGTTAATCCTTTTGTTAATTCGATGCTGTTGAACGAAGCAGAGTTGGATATTGTTTTTTTTATATTGTTTATTACCAATTAGAAACTGTATTTTTTATATCAGATTTGATAAAGTTAGTTGTGATAAATTGATTTTAAAATTTTGAGTTGAAAAGTGTAATTTGGTTTGTTTAAAATATTTAAAAATATTAAGTATTAAAATACTTGAGGAAAAGATTTTAAGAAAGAAATTTAGAGTAGTTTTAGTAGGAAATGTGGATCAAGTATGAAAACAGGGAATTTTTAAATTTTGTAATCTCAGAGTTTCAGATTTTTACATTTTGATATTTTCAAAAAACTAAAATAAACTCTCAAGTTTCTAAATTTTGTACTTTTTAAACTTTCAAATTTCTATGTAGTTAACTAAGTTTTCAAATTTTAATATTTTTAAGTTTTCAAATTTTCAAAAATTATAATTTTTAATTTTCAAACTTTTAACTTCTCAAATTTTCGAAGTTGCGAATTCTCAATTTTTAAAGAATCAATTATTAAAATTTTCGTAGTTAGAAATTTTTAAAAATTGAAATTTCAACATATTCAAGAAGTCAAATTTTCAAAGTTTGAAATTTTCAATGTTTGAAATTTTCAATGTTTCAAATTCTTAAAGTTTCAAATTTTCAAAGAATCAAATTCTCAAGTGGTTAAAGATGCAAATGTTTAAATATTCAAAACTGCAAATTTTCCCATTTTCAACTTCCTAAATTTCCAAATTCTCGAATTCCCAAATTCTCAAATTCATCACTTTCAAAATGATCAACATTTTAAATGTTCAAATTACTAATTATATTTCTAAACCCTTCAATTTTTAAATTATCATAGTTTCGAAATGTTCATAGGTTTCTCATGGCAAATAATAAAAAATGCAATTTTGTTTAATGATACAAAATGTTTAATGAAGTAAACCAAAGAAAATCGAAACGGAAGCATAAATGTTACATACACTGTTCAAAAAAATTGTCATAGCATTTTTGCTATTAATAAACTGATAATATAATAGTTACTTAAAAAAGTCATAAAAATAATAATCATATTATTTTTTGATTGTATTTAATTTTTTCTGTAAAGTACATCATATGCATTGAATTTTTGTCAAATCAATTTTTTTAAATAAATTCCTTAAATGACTGTTACATATATATTTCTTTTACGATAATTATTATAAATGAATTTTGTAAATAACCATTGAATGCATCAATATTAAATCATAACATAATGTTTAATAATGTAAATCATAATATTTGTTAAATCAACATAAACCTTCCAAATGATTATTAAATTTAAATTTCATAAACGATGACTGTAAAATAAATTTTCCAATCGTTATTAAAGCGGCGGGAAATGGAATTCTTTCAAAGTAGAAATTTGTTCCATAATTAACAAATTTCCAAAAATTGTATTAATAGGGTAAACGCATAAACAAAATTTCCTGCAAATAAGTGCTTTATTCAACATGAATCCACTTCGATTTTCATTTGCCTCGAATAACAAAACTAACCCAACTCTGTCGAATCAGCGCCGTTCTCTCTTTCTCTCTGTTTCTCAGCCGATAAAACACTCTTTGGTCACTCGAACGTACTAAATCGAACCTCATCGACGAATAAAGTCCATCACGTGCTCGAAACCTGCGAAAATCGAATCGTTAACATCCCAGTGATTCTCCAGAGTGGTCACAGTTTTTCGATCGCCGCCATTTTGATCTAAATCGGAAGAGAAGCGGCTTCTCGGTGCTGATGGCGGCAAAATTCAAATTTGTTTAATGAAAAATATTGAAATAACGAAACTAAGTCGTTAAGTTTGAAACACGAAAATGAAACGAGTATGAATTATTAAGTTTGAAACACTAATATGAGACATTAAGTATGAAACACAAACATGAAGTAATAAGTAAGAAATACGAATATGAAATAATAAGTATGAACTACGAATATGAATTATTTCAAATGAAATACGAATATAAAATGCTAAGAACAAAACAAGATTACAAGATACCAAATCTTGTACAACAAACAATATATTTTCTTATTTTCTTTATTTTTGTATTGTGATTATTTAAAAATTATTTTCATTCGCTCCAGTATATACAAAAGTTGTTTTAATTCCTATTTGATGAAAGTAAACATTAAACTCTTTCAGAATTTAAATAAATTGAAAAATGAAGACAAAGTTTATTTTTCATCACTGTGTGAAATATTTATTTTCACTATTAATAATATTGATTTTTCATCTTAAAAGAGTGACAGAAATTATTTTATATTAACTCAATAATAATTTGTTTCATTACTACATCGTGAAACTTTAAATACTTTTTGAATTTAGTATAAATATTTTCACTATTAATAACGTTGATTTTTTATCACAAAAATTGGTAGTGACAGATGAAATTATGTTATATTAACTCAATAATAATTTAGTTCATTAGCATATCATGATATTTTAAATAGAGTTTGAATTTAGTATAAAGAGATTTGAATTTTGCCGCCATTAAGTTCCTTTCAGACCAAGATGGCGGAACCCCGGAGAACAAATGCACCAAATCGCTCCACCATGGCGCATAGAGTTCAAGATAGTCTCAAGTTTGTACGAACAAAGACTCCTCGAAATTGTTCGCAGTCACAGAATATCGAAAACTTGAAAGTTTGCAAAATTCTTATGCGTCTGAAAATGCTTATTGCACCCCTTCACCCTTCGAGATTGCCATAAATAATCGAACAAAACGTCCTACTTATTAAATAATTAAATAATCAAGGTTCGCGTAATCAACACACGACTAAACTAACAATTTTTATTTCCGAAATCGTTCGCAAGGGTGAATTCCGAAAATCAGCAAGTTACGCTTAAATAATCTACCTCAATTAATTGTCTTTTACACATTTCTCTCGCACACTCCGCAAATTATACATTAATTATTTTGTGACAATTTGATTATTGAAAATTACGCGATGGTATTTTTTTCTGTTTGAAAATACTTTCTCGCGTGCTTTTGTAAGTTTTCTTGGTTTTAAGGTAAATTATTCATTTTTTTTTCGTGCGGACAATCTCGATTGCCGATGTTTCTCGTCATACCTGAGATCTTTCGTGCACGGATACCTTCGAGATTTATGGTCGAATTTCTCTCGTTCACGATTAAAATTTCTATTTGCGAAACATCGAGCATTTTTATTGTTCGGTAACGGAATATTGGGCGAGCAGTGGTTCTCAATGGTTTACGGATTTTGGAATTTTTTGGCGGTTTTTTGGAGTTTTGGACTTTTGAAAATTTGCAAATTCGGATTTTTGAGGATTTTGTTATGGAAGATTGGATTTTTTAATATTTGGACATTGTGGCTTGGATTTTTTAATATTTTGGCATTGGAAATTGCATTTTTTGAAATTTGAATTTTGAAATATTTGGGCTTTGGAGATTGGATTTTTTAATATTTGGAACTTTGGACTTTGGATTTTAGAATTTTGGGACTTTAATATTTTAGAATTTTGAGACTTCAAGATTTTAGAATTATAGGTTATTGAAATTTGAGACTTTGAGGTTGCAGTATTTAGAAGTTATGGGAATTTTCAATTTTGGTATAACTTACAAATTTCGAAACGGTGATATTGTTAATCTTTAAGGTTATAATACTTCAGAATTTGAACATTTTCAATTTTTGATATTTTGAAACCAAAAGATTTTTTGAAAATTGAGAAATTTTTGATATTTCGATATTTTCTGATATTTAAAAACCATAAGATTTTTTGAGAATTTAAAAATTTTTGATAGTTTGATATTTTCTGATATTTTTAAACCATAACATTTTTTGAGAATTTAAAAATTTTTGATAGTTTGATATTTTCTGATATTTTGAAATCATAAGATTTTTTGAGAATTTAAAACTTTAAAATCCTGAGGATTTTTAGATATTGAAACAAAATTTCTGAGTTTGAAATTTTTTAATTATTGAACTTTTAATTGACATTTTTTAATTCTGTTTGTTCTAAAACCATAAACCAAAAAGAACCACTGCATTCAATAACTCAAATTTTCCCCCAAAATCTAACCAAAAGTTCAGTCACACATTTCCATATCCCGGTTTAACAATTCAATTACTCATTATTTAAGCTCATGTTTCCGCAAATTTGATCCTTTTGTCCATTGCGATTCATCGAGAATTAGACACGTCATATCTCAACCCTTTCGCGCATTTGATTTCTTCTCGTCAAATCAACACAACTCAAAGAATCATTCAACTTCTGAATAAAGAAGTTCTGCAGCCAAATTGTCTAATGATATGTCGGTTTTCTCATTAGGAACAAAAAGCTGAAAGTTTCATAAGAATTTATTAGAAAGGTTTACTGTAATGAGTATTTCGGTGTTCTATCACTGTAATATTATTAAAAACCATGGCTACACGAAATATAAATAATCCCGATATTTGAATTATTATACAACCCAATTATACTTAACGAATCAGGTAATTAAATATACAAAGTTATACCGTATTCATAACAATAATTTAATAATTCGAATCCTATGGTATAATCTATAGGGTGATCCCCTAAATGTGCCACGTTAATTTTATTACACAGATGTTCCAAGAAAAATGTACAGAATTAAAAAGAAAAACATAAAGTACAATAATCAGGTCATTGTTTATCTTCAGCAAATTTTTTAGTAGTAATGACCAAAATTTAATTATGCAGTTCGAAGGAGCTTTCAATATAGAGTAAAAAAGTATTAAGGAACATGGGTCGAAAAGTGAATAACAATCGAGATATCGAATTAAAAAGAAATTACAATAATCAGTTCATTATCATCAAATTTTTTCGTAGTAATGACCCAAATTTAATTATGCAGTTCGAAAGAGCCTTCAATATAGAGTAAAAAAGTATTAAGGAACATGTGTCGAAAAGTGAATAACAATCAAGATATCGCCGATTGACGCGTTCGGTTTCAGAGGTGTGAAAAAACACGCGCGCCAAAAACGAACGCGTTCAATAAAGCAAGCAACCTTGATATCTAATATAATTTCACAAAACTTAGGCACACAGGCGATTCACCCTGTACTTCCTAAAATCGAATTAAACCTATCGGAACATTTGAAATGAAATCAATCGGTTTTATGGCACAAATCCAGTTTATTAGACCGCTCGATCAGAACAAAGGAAAAGACACTCGATCAAGCGCAAAAAAGGTCAAGCTATTCCTCGAGATATTCAGTGATTCTTCGGACTGTTCTTTTTGCACCCCCTACATGTTCTCGCAAATTACTATTCTCTTCAAGCACTTATTGAAAGAAGACCACGAAGAAAGCGGACACTTTCGTTCTGGCCACACCGCACAACACTATGGACTTCCTGTATCGTGATGAAGGGAGTCACTGTCACTTTCGAGATAAGTTACATAGCTATCCGTGCTGTCGGGATGTTGGCCCATGTCTGGACCACCGCTGCTGGGGTGGTGTGGACCCGGGGGTGGAAGAGGACCACCACCCC